TTAAACTCACTTTTACATACTCTGCAAGCGCCCTGGGAGTGGGCAAATTTCTCCTTTTCTATAGACTTTTAATGTCTTCAACTTGGTTTAAGCTCGTTGGCTCCAAATGGTGCTCATTAGTTTTGCTAACTTACTATCTATTTCATCTGATAACTCTTATTGTAAAATTCATTTATGTTTCATGGCATCAAAGGGGAAGTCTTATAGCATTAAGGATGGGGACATGTTCCTTTTGTTAGGATAAAAAGATATTGCTCGCACTCCTTATGAGATGTTCTCCTAAACAATCATCTACCTGCTCTACTTATCCATGTGGGCACCTTGAGGCCTTAATTTTATACCAACTCGTAATGGTTTTAAGTACTTTCTCGCCATTGTTATTGATTTTCTAGGACTACGAGGGCTTGTCTCATGGGTTTCAAAATTAATGATTTTCCTTTAAGCTCACGCTGAAATTGCCCTGATTTCAAACCAAAGTGCGTCCCCTTTTTCCAAAGTCTTAAATGAGTCGGATTGGATGGGTTACGTGGCCTTCTTCTCACTCGACTTCTAGAATAATTGACTATATCATTTTCATGTGAGGGGAGTTTTGCTACCCTTGGTATTCCACCTCCTTGGGTGGATAGGAGTGTCATTTGTCTTTCTCCCCGGAGCATCATGTTAACCATTAGAACGCCTCTAACCAATACATGATTTCATCCCAACATTTAGATGTCCTAGCTATGTGGTTTTACTCGTGAAGGGTGAGATTTGATGCCTTCAGATTTTTGCACATATCATGAGCATATTGATTTGGAAGACAAGTTGTCGTACCTTTAGTTCTCTCATATAGGGTCAATTGTCAGGGAGGGTTAAGCTGTTTGAATTATGATAATCTCATAAGTCTTTTAACTTCATTTTCATCCTCATGGGCTTATGGCATAGATTCCTTGTGTCAGCTAATGTCAGGAGTGTAATTCCACTTCGTGTATTTTGAATCCCATATCGCATTCAAGGTGCCAGAGTATAAATTGATTTTCCCTCCACTCTAGGAAACGACTGGGTCATGTACTTGAATATTCCTCCTTAGTGATACCTATTGCCAATGTACTACTTACCCCTATGCCTCATTTGTGTAATAATTGATGTCGTCACAGTGATTAACCATGTCAGCATTGTTAGTTGTAACTTTCATGTCCCTTAGCATATAACCTCAGAAAGTACTCTACTCAGTGCATTAATGAATTCATGGATAACTCCAGCCCAATCTTGAACTCTGTGTTCCTCATTGCATTAAATTTATCAGGTATTGAAGGTCCAAACATGTCAAATGGGGATCATCCCCGTGTGATCACATATGTTCGATAGGTAGTTTTATGGCCAGCTTATGATAGCACACCTTAAAGTAATCGTTTCATCAAAGGTTTAGCATGGTTATTCGAGTAGAGATTTAGAATTCAGGAGGGTGAACCGGTTATTCACAAAAATTTTCCCTGTAGATGTTATGTGAATTGATAATGAAGGGTACGTAAGCGCATTTCCCATTAGGTCGCACTAGGAGTATGATGTTTCCCCATAGTTGTTCCTCATAAATTTGTATTTTCATATGTCTATGTCTGAGAAGGTAGGTGGAGATCATTTGTATATCATCCTGGTGTAAACTATTGAAGGTGAATGTTAATGGATAGTTAGCTTATGCGAGGTATCTAGTCGTCATCCTTGTTAGATAAGTTTGTAGGTTGGGGTTGTTTCCGTGAATGTGTTATGGAAAAATCCTATAAGTATAAGAGGCCACATTAAAGGCCGAGAGTATTGTGGAAATAAGGTATTTTCTCTTGATTGTATAGAAGTTGGTCTTGANGGGGGGGGGGGGGGGGGGAGAATGTAAGGCCCTGGAAAATTTTGCTAAGTAAATTAGGATTCGTGGTGCCATGGAGGCTAATTATAATGTTTTATATGCTATTAACATGATGGGCATCAATTGAATTTGGTAAACAAGTGTATGAGTCATGTATTAAGTAAGGTGGGGTCCAAGGGGAGGCCTAAGTGTAAGCCAAATTGGAAAAGTTTCATAATAGGCTAAGATTCCAAAGGTACTTGCACTAGTCCATATTTGAACGAGCATATCTAAATATATATTAGGTTTTATGTGATGAATAACCTATCAAATGAAAGGCCTTTGAGTCTAGTTTCCAACGCTTCAAACCGTTCGTCATTTGGACATTCCTACACAAAGTTATGGTCAAATTACCAAAGGCTGGAAAAGCGCGATCCTGTGTCAAATCTGCGATCGCATTTCTGTCGCATTTTCGACTTTGCGGTCGCAGATCTGTCGCAAATTTGGCCAGTGTTGCCCAGTTTTGGGCATCTATTTTGCGGTGCATTAAGCGGCCTACATTCTTGTTTTGCGGTCCATTCTGCGATCGCAAACCCGACGTCGGAGGCTTATTTATCCTATTTTTATAACCCGACCCCATTTTAATATATAGTCTTTGGGCTTCATTTGGGGTCATTTTTCCACTAATTTTAGAGAGAGTTGAGAGCATTTTAGAGAGAGAAGTAGGAACCCAACTTTCATTCATCCAATCTTGCATCAATCTTCAAGAATCAAAGAACCCAATCACAAGTTCTTCATCTAAGAGGTAAGATTCTATACCTTAGGCATTAATTTCGAGTTTGGGGTATAAGATGGGGTATTGAGGTATGATTCTTGGGTGTAATACTATTATGTATACATGCATGTACAAAGTAGGCTTGTGGAAAGATTGTTGAACATAAATAAGTAAAGATTGGGTTGGGAAATCAAGGAAACCTTGTAAAAGAGATTTGAAATCAAGATGCTCAACTAGTATTTGATAAAATGCTCAAATGAGCTGAAACCATGAATACCTTTCTAATTTGTGTTCAATATTGTTATGTCTCAAAGTAGATTGGGATTGCTAGAATTTCCGGAACGTTGTAGTGACTTAAGGAAAGCTTAAACAAGGTATGTATGGCTAACTTTAACCTTTGTAAAGTCACCTTGTTTGGTGTACGAGTAATTGGTATGTGTTTCTTATGTGGACTATTTGTGAATTCTGTTTGCTTCACGGGTGTTAGGGCAAGATGGCCTATTTCATGAATTCTTGTGACTAAATTGCCTTGAATATTGTTGGTTAACGTTCCGATATGACGGTGTGAATAAATGGCAACAAACCAAGTGTGTGTGTGAATGTGTTTATGTGGTAAGGGCTGTGAAATAAATGATGGAAAGAAGTCGTGATTGATGCAATTGAAACAACTGTGGTAACATCATGTGTGACTTATCGTGGGCAATTATCGTTGTGACTTAAATTGTATGTGGGCTGTTGTATATGATGGAAATGGTATTGATGGTTATGAAAATTCTTTCTGATTTGTTGTTGTTGTCGTGTGAAATGTGATTTGTTGTTGTTGTTGTTGTGTGAAATGTGATTGTTCGGTGGGATCGGGTTGCGCGCCGGAACACGAAGTAATAAGGTGTGGGTTGTGGTGATAAGGGTGGCCGAGGTAATAAGGGTGGAAAAGTGATCGAAATCACTATTGAAATAAAAATATGAGAAAGTTGTGAAATCATTGATGTGATGAAATAATGCTGAAAGGGGAAAAGGAGAGATTGTGAAATTTGTTTGGCTTTGGTTGTTCCTTTCATGTGCATTTGATTGTTGATTCTATTACTGTTTGTTATCTGTGTATTGATTGATTCTACTTGGGGTAAAGTTTGTTCATACATACCAGTACAATTCAAATGTACTGACGTCCCTTTTGCCGAGGGCGCTACATTCGTGTTATGATTGTAGGTTGATCTATAGCAGGTACTCCAGTCCACCGACAGTAGCACTCCTTCACTTCCCGTCAGCTGAATTGGTGAGCCCCTTTCCTCTCGGGGCCCTGCGTGGCTCATGCCGCTTTTCTTCCCGGAGTCTTATTTTGGTATTTGTGTAAGGTATAGCCGGATCCTTGTTACCGGCAAGTATTATAAAACTCTTTTGTATCCTTAGAGGCTCCGTAGACAGGAAACGTGGGTTATGTACTTATGTATCTTGTATTTGGGCAGTGTAACTTGTAAACCACGCTAAGTAACCATGTATGTTATGTATATTTCGTAAAAAGGTGTTTAAATCATACATGGCTATTTCCTTTGATTAATGAGTAATGAAAATACGGGGTAACACGTGGGATAGGAAAGGCACCCAGGTCCGCTTTACTGGGGCTACCCGGTCGAGCGCCGGTCATGTCCCTCGGTTTTGGGGCGTGACACAAACCACATCCAAAACATGGCTAATCATGGGCTAAAGTGTGGGCACGTTTTTGTATTTGTCTTAGCATGTTTGTCCATGAGTTGGGGCTTGTCAACTGATTGTTTAAATCCTGCCCTATAAATATGTGCATAAGCTGTCCCAAAGAGGACAGAAAAATTTAGTCTTGTGGCAAGTGTTAGCCAATTTCGTCTAAGTGTATTCCTAAGGGTAAGAAATCATTTTCGGGGCAGGGAACTAAGGTGTTCTTTGTTCTTGGCCATAGGGTTGGCTTATTGTGTTCTTGTATTCACATATTAATACGAGTTGGGAAGAAACTCCAGTAAATTTCGTGTGTGCCTTTTACTTTACTTGCTGCCTAAATTTGTCTAAGTCTCAAACGTCCCTAAAATAAATCTAAGTGTTGGAAAGGCTGAAGTCAAGGCTGGGCTTGACTGCCGCACGGAGCTGAACCTCGGGCAGAATTCGAGTGACATAAATCACCCCTGTGACACTTGCCACCCCTAAATGTAAGATCAACGAACGCTCGAAAATTTAAAGACTCCTCTTTAACCTGTATTGTTGTAATTTGTTCTTGTTTATACTAAGTTTATACAAACTGTCACAACAACAACATACCAAGTGTCGTCCCACAAGTGGGGTTTGGGAAGGGTAGAGTGTAAGCAGTCTTTACCCCTAAGTGTACACCAGTCCTTACGCCTACATTTAAGAAGGCAGAGATACTGTTTCTGGTAGATCATCGACTCAGAAACAAATTGTCGCGAAGATATAAATTAAAGTGATGGTATATATATACTCTGTATACACAATAACACTGCTAAAAAATCTTGGTTCCACCTTCCGACTCGAAGCAACATAACATGGTAAACAATGTCTATCATAGGATCACTCAATTAATAGGTCAATTCTCTGTGACATCTCGGAAGTGATTGGTAGCCAAGTTTTCTAGCAAAGATCTACTTTCTTTCTCGACATCCTTGAAGCAGTAAGCAGGGGCTTGCCACTTTGAATTCTCCAGCACTTTCCCAGCCTCAAATGTCATTATATGTTCAACCAATCCTGCATTGTTTCACATATTTCAAGTATTAAACGTTATCATAAAGAAAAAAGAATAAGAGAGAAAGACGGCTACATTACGTTTCTTACATGAATGTTTGATGAGCCATGGAAGCAATAACTAATGGTTGTAGTAGACTGTTTATATCACACACACCCCTAGGGTGCGGCTCAGGGACGGAGCTAGGTGGACGGAAGGGGTTTCAGTCGAACCCTTCATCCAAAAATTACACTATTATATAAGGTCAATAATTTTTTGTGTACAAATATTATATATTGAATCCCCTTAGTTTTTTGGTGTGTTTACTTTTTAAAATTTTTGAATCACCTTAGTGAAAATAGAGGGTTAACAGTTGATAGGTAAGTCAAGCGGTAAAACAGTAAATCAGGCACTAATAGCTATTCACTCACCAACAACAGCGGCTGTTTACCTCATTGATTTGACTTCATTTTACTTAAGATTAAAGATAGAGGCTGGGTGGGCAGTGAAGGCTCATTTAGTAGACGGAAACGGTCAGGCAAGGCTATCGTCAGACAATGTAGTGCAAGCGGCGGGTAGTGCTGCCATATGAAGAAGATGACTGCAATAGGAGACGAAGGCGACGTGCTTCCGTCACTGAAGCGGCCCAACCGAGACAATATATAAATACGAGATACTTTATGCACCGCGTGATCCTTTGTCGAAAGGAATACAACCGTCGTTCAGCTAAAGGAACGGTTGGACTGCTCATCCTAATGGCAGAAATGTGTCAGAAATTGAAGCTTATCTCATTAGTAGTAAATATATGCATAAAATAGTGAATTTCATTGTTGTTTGTCTTAGCCCCGGATCTTAGGTTTTGGTTACTGTTATTGCATGTCATTTATCTTTTGGTTGTTATACTTCTGGAGTTACTAATGAATTGTCTTTTCTTGTTTTTCATTTCCGTCTTTTAGAGCCGAGGGTGTATCTGAAACAGCCTCTCTGTCCTATCGAGGTAGAGGTAAGGTCTGCGTACACATTACCCTCCCCAGACCCCACTCTGTGGGATTTTACTGGATAGTAGTTGTTGTTGCAGTAGTTTCACTATCGAAAAGAACGGTCCTTTTTCTCATACAAGTAATCTCAGCAGAAAATTTTATAACCCAAGTTTCAAGCATAAAAAAAAAAAATTCTTCCCTAAAATAGATGGTCTACGTAATTCAACAAAATAAAGGACATTAAAGAATATTTGCATACCATCATAAAAATGCCAATAAACAGGAATCTTGGTAACAGCATCCTCGTAATACTGTAAGAAACCAACTTTCTCCCAAACATTACAAAGGAATCCATCCTTGTACTTTTGTCCTACGTAATTTGAACCTTCAAGCCAATTAGGTCTAAGAATTCCCACTGGGAAATGCCTGATAGTACACTCTTGAGTAGAATCCAAAGTGAAATAAAAGGAAGTACCATTTTGCCATTCAACATCATACAAAGTCTTTCCCAATTGGTATTGGTTTATATGCATGTACCTTTTGTTTGGCCAGTCGTACCAAAGGTCTACTTTCCTAAGACCTTGAGTGTAGTTCATAATGGTAATTGCGTGGAATTGTTGAGGCCATGGTTCTGGAATTGGGTCTGTGGACTCTGATTCAAATGCAATTGAAGGAATCAAGAGAGTGTATGTAGTGACAAGGAAGATGAATTTGATAGTAGGGAACATTTTGTTCTTGTTCTGTGTTTTTGGTTTTCTTTAGGAGTCTCGGCAAAGATAAAAAGTAAGCAAATAAAATCAGCTAAGAAGCAAACATGTGGAACATAAACTGCGAAGTAGATAAGGTCCATGTCACTTTATGGTGCTTCATTTTTCAAGTGAGTTTTACATAAGACGCGGTTATATTCATTCTTTATTTTTTCTACATCGATTATAAACAGTTATACATATATTTATATCTACCAGCTATTTTTAGTTTACGGGAGACAGCTATTTGAGTTAATTTCAACAGTTATTACATATAGTCAAAGTATCGAATTCTATTTAGTATTTACTTTAAAAACAACTTGCGCGGCACCATTAGTGATTGGAATTTTTATATTCCTATACTCTACATGAAACTATATTACCCTCCCTACTCAAGGTTTACTATAATTATATTTTATATACTCAATTATCATTTATATACATTCTAAGGGAATTAATGATAATAATTAGTGTCCTAAATTACTCTAACGTATCTTCCACTCCCCCACGTTTCTCTCTCCACATACCACCCCCCTCCCCACGTATCTTGTACTCACCCACAATTCCACCATTGACAACCATTAAAAAGCTTTGAATCTTTGAATTCGAATTTGGGTTTTCAAAATTTTTTATTTGAACTGGGTGTTGTTGCAAAGAATTGGGGATTCTCTCTACGTCTCTCTCTATCTCTCAATCCCTAATTTCAGTAATGTAAAGCAAAGGAAAAGAGAGCAAAAATTCCACCATTGACAGCCATTAAAAAGCTTTGAAGCTTTGAATTCGAATTTGGGTTTTCAAAAATCATTATTTGTTTGGATTGGGTGTTGTTGCAAACAATTGGGAATATGGTTTGGAGTTTATATCTCAATTTTGAGGGGTTTTGGTGAAGATTAGACGTGGTTTTGGCTGAATTTCAGATTGAAACTTGAAGAAGAAGGACAAGACATGATATACATTATATTTAGAAATTGTAGTAAAATTATAAAAAAATTGTAGAAAAATTATATTCTGTTGTTTATATATTTTTATTTATTTATTTAACTATTGTATGAAAGTTGAACAACATTGTATAAAAATTATATTTAAGTTGTATATAACTTAGTAGAAATAATGTATGATAAGTTGTAAATAAATTGTATAATATATAATTAGTTGTATGAAATTTGTTTTTACTATGTATAAATCAGATACAAAATATACAAAATACATATTGTACAAAATTTGTATACAAATTGTATTTAAGTGGTGTGATATTGTAGTTGTATATAACTTGATAGAAATTTAAAAAAAAAAAAAACTATATTAGCATTCAAAAATGGTTGTTACTACCATCCAGGATTGGAGTTTAACTTGAAGATGTTTAGGTGTTTTCTTTTTAATTTTAATGGTGAGCTGTACCCGGTCAAATGGGAGATTACCGTAGTGTATTTTCTTTCGGAAACGAAAAGAAACTCTGTAATAACTTGAACAAATTGTTTCTTGCTTGAGATATTGACATTTGAACTGCGACAATATGTAGTGAAGTCTAATGGCCGACAAGTCTGTTCATGGTTTTTGCACTCTGGATATGGATGTAAAGGGCCTTATTGTTAAATGGAAAGAAACTCCAATTATATTTGCTTCAGCCTGGAAGTTTCACAATAACTGAAACATGCAACCTGCTTTTGTTTTTACACTAACTACAGTCTTTCAAAAGTACTAATGAGATTTGAATTGTGTACAACTTTAATGGATTTTGAATGAGTCGATATTCTTTTCCGATAACGGTAATGTCCGGACCAGCTTGCGTGCACCTCGACTAATTTCACGGGATATCTTACACCTCCCACCAGCAACAGGAATCAAGTAACTCTATCCACACCAAGGCTTGGACAGATAAAAAGAAATTACCTAGAATTTTTGCCTCCACTAGGATTGAACCTTAAACCTCATGGTTCTCACCCACTTCATTGATCACTAGGTCATACCCATGGGTGCGGAATGAGTTGATATTGAGAGATTATAAATTATTTTAATAAGCTACACAAAAAATTATAAAAATCACTTCCATTCAAAACATAAATCATGATACAAGATTATGCTACTTTCTAAATTTTAAGTTTTGGTTCGTGGGACAGAAAGAAAACGTATAGTAAGATGAACATGATACCAAACCAGGTTTCGTAGGAACCTAAATGGAAAAAACCTTTTTTGTTTTCCGCTTAGCGTCCTAGTGTATACTTAGCAATTCTTCCTCATGATTCTGTGTAAACCTTTTTATAATTTACAAACATGTAAATTTCTTTGAAATGGTTACAGGCAATTATATATTATCATTGAAGATACAATACGAATTCAAAGAATATCTCAAAATCTCAATACCACAAGGATCCCACTATTTGAGTCAAAATGATCACATCATAATTCCTTCATCATAGAAACAAAAGAAAGTTGAACTCCTCAGAACAATCAACAGAAATAGTAGCTGGACCAACTCATAGTTGCTTCATCCATTCCCTTCATTTGCTAGCTAAGGACCTCTACGAAATTTGCATGTTTTATCACTTCGCAAACTATAAAGAATATTTCAATTAATCAAGGCATGCTCTCCTGGCAAAGCTATAAATAACTACTAAATGTACCAAAATGCTGCTCCTCTAATCTGTACTATCCAAAAGTAACAAATGGTACATGAAACTATAGACAATCTATCCAGAAGTGGATTGCTAGAAACCGATTTTGACGCATCCTCCAGAATTTGAAGACTAGGTAAATCAATTTTAACGATTTATACCGATAGCTATAGTTCCCATAAGCAATATCAATTTTCAGTAGACAGTTGGGCACTAAGCAAAGGCAGATTGTAACATAATTACCATGAAGTAGTATTCTTGCTTCAATCTGTACTCGATCACAGTCTTGTTCCAAAGCAAAAGAAAGTGAGCTTTTTCTGGAATTAGTCCTCAACGCCCACTTTTAGAAGTTTATCTCACGTCTCTCGGCAAAAAACTTACCACTCACGAACTGGTCAGGGAGAAGAGCAAGCCAGACTGCAGTATCCGCAGCGTCTACTGGAGACGTATGCCCAGCCCATGCGGTCATGGCAGTCTTCACCCAACCTGGGCAATAGCAATTCATATATATCTTATGACCGTCTGGCCTGTCTGAAAGTATCTTCGCCATTAGTCTGGTGTAAGCATTAGCAGCAAGCTTTGACAATGAGTAGTCAGTAAATACTTGTGGCCACCCCCCAGATATCCAAGTCCCATCTTTTACTTGGTCCAAAAATGTGCTCACGGTGCTATCAATCAGTTCCTCTGATAAGGAATCTACATCCTCCAGTTGTTGTCTCAAGCTGACATTTGCAATTCTCACGGTGCTATCAATCAGTTCCTCTGATAAGGAATCTACATCCTCCAGTTGTTGTCTCAAGCTGACATTTGCAATTCTCTGGTGGGTATCAAGCAAAAGCAGATCATTTAGAGATGTAAATAAGATAAAGCTTTTTGCATATTAGAGACCTCAGTAGTTATTGCTTTTGACGAATTTCAAAAATCTCCTAAGAAGCATTCCTCTATCAGGGCGAAGGACTAAGCAAAACTTGATTTTGGAGCACACAAATGAAAAGGAGTCCTCTAATGTCCCCCTCCCCCTTAAATAAGTGTATATGAAACTCATAGATAACAATTTCATTTTGCTGAGATGGAATATGATTAGTATTTGAAAACAGAAGATACTGGTTTTTTTACGAAGAGAAAACCCGTAAATCACAACATCTCTCTCTAGCTGTACAATATTTTCGGCACTCTTAGCTGTCATGTCAGCACAGGAACCATGATGGAAAATACCCTGAAGAAACAGATTCCACTTTGGGAACCTTAGAGGAATTGCAAAAAGAGCAAGCAAGATGAAAAAGGACAAATAGAGTGAGAAGAATAATAACAGTGAAAAGGAACGCTAAGGCGCTTACATTCCGCCTGCCATTAAGTCTTCCCAGTCGTGAAGTCACATTAACAATACGAGCACCAAAAGGAGAAGGCCTCATTAATGGAATCATAGCTTTAATCATACTTTTGGTGCCAAAGTAGTTGGTCCGGATAACCGTTTCTGCAAATTCCACTGAATTATCTGTTCCGAAATTGAAATTGACTCCTGCATTATTGATCTAAACACTTCCATATCATTAGCCGAAAGGGCCACATTTGACAAATATAGTGAACGGACAAAAGTGATAACAAAATGAACGTAAAGCAACGACAACTACAGCATAATGGCCCCCCTCTTGGTTCTCTCCCCCCTCCTTCCCCCAACCCAACAAAAAAAAAGTGAAACGTAATAGTAACAAAGAATACATACAATATCAGTATGATATTGAAAACCAATTGCATATGCTACCACTACCAGTGCTAGCCTATAATGAGAAAATAAAGTAGATGGAGTACCAGTATATCTAAACCGCCATATTTTTCCTTTATCCAGTCAGAAAATAATTGAATTGATGTTGGGTCCACAATATCCAATTGATGAAATACCACATTCAAACCTCCCTCTTGCATGACTTTCGCTGCTTCTTTACCAACATGAGTCTCTCGCGATGTAAGAACTACCGTTAGGCCATGTGATGCCAATTGGTGAGCAATTTCAAATCCAATTCCTCTATTTGCACCAGTCACGACAGCAATAGTGTCAGTAGACCACCATCTGAAAATCATCAACTGTCTATAAGTGTAATACTCAGAATCAACATCCTAAAGTAAACCAATTTTGACTGGATGAACCATATTCCATCCCAACAGTTATGCAGTTGAAATAGTGATTATCTAGATCTTCCCATAACTAATAGGAATAACTAGCCAAAGATTATCAAAATGGCTTGGAGCATCATCTTAGTTCATGACCAAGGCTGATTGGAAAGTGAATCAAAGAGCTTATTATTTTCCCATGATACAGTCAGTTTATAGCTTTCCTTAAGCCGGGGGTCTATCGGAAAAAGCCGTAGGGGTAAGGTCTGCGTCCACACCACCCTCCACAAATCCCACTTCTGGGATTACACTGGGTATGTTATTGTTGTTGTTGGTACATGCAGTTTATGTAATGATTATAGTAAGTCTATAATCTGTTGCATAGATGAAGTATAAAGCCAGATTATAGAGAATGGAAGAAAATCAACTGTACACCAAATCAAATTATCTCCATAGTTCTTTTCTGAATATGTCATTAAGCTGATAAATGGTTTCTTGTTTCCTATCTAAAAATGCTAGAGCAAAAATGCAGAATAAATGCACCAAGCTTAGCAGGTTTAGGTTTCTATTCTTTGAATGTGGTTCTTAAAATGCCTTACATCTTTGCAGTTCTAATCTCCTAATCTCCTGGTAGCAAAAATGTATATTAACAGAATATTATGGTTACTTTATTAGATTCCAAAACTGCATCATTTGCAGTGCAAAGCTGTTTGTTCAATAATCATAAGAAAACACAAACAATCATCATCTAAAACATTTGACACGATACTTGCCAACTATATGCTGCAATGCGCTGATTCGAGTTTGTCATCTTAAATTATTTTTGTATCTCATGTACCGATGCACGTCTATATGGAAAGCCTTCCTAAATAGTGAGATGATGGAAACATCTCTCCCTTCGAAGTTTGAATAAACTACCGAATAAAGCATATTACAGGTAGACTAATTACTAGAAAGACGTACATTGGAAGCTATAGTGCTTCAGCATCTGCAGTTTTATGCTTCAGAGCAAGTATCCAATGCCATCAAATATAACCATCCCAAGAAAGCATAACACAATTGAAAATGCTAGAGTTTGCTCCATCATCTACACATTGTTTCCTCTTCAGTCGTTTGGTAGGATGTATTAAGAAAATAATACATGTATCAACTTTGGTATTATTAATCCCTTGTTTGGTAGTGTTTTTCAACTTACGTATAACTAATACTTGTATTAATTATACACCTTATTCAATGCTATTTTTATACATAGCAAACCATGGCATTAGCAATACCATACTTTTTAATACACGGATAAGCATGTGTTTATTGACCCGGAGAAATCGTATAACAAGGTGCCTAGGGAGATTCTTTGGAGATGCCTGGAGGCAAAAGGTATGCCGGTCGCTTACATTAGGGCGATTAAGACATGTATGATGAAGCTAAGACTCGGGTTAGGATAGTGGGAGGCGACTCGGAGCATTTTCCGGTTGTTATGGGGTTGCACCAAGGATCTGGGCTCTGCCCATTTTTATTTGCCCTGGTGATGGACGCACTGACATACCATATTCAAGGGGAGGTGCCATGGTGTATGTTATACGCTGGCGACATAGTTCTGATTGATGAGACGTGAGGCGGCGTTAACGAGAGGCTGGAGGTTTGGAGATAGGCCCTTGAGTCTAAGGGTTTCAAGTTAAGCAGGACTAAGACAGAATACCCGGAGTGCAAGTTAAGCGCCGAGTCGAGGGAAGCGGGCATGGACGTGAGGCTTGAATCACAAGTCATCCCCAAGAGATGCAGTTTCAAGTACTTAGGGTCGGTTATCCAGGGGATGAGGAGATCGACGGGGATGTCGCACACCGTATAGGGGTGGGTGGATGAAATGGAGGTTAGCATCTGGAGTCTTGTGTGACAAGAAAGTGCCACTGTTGCTCAAACGTAAGTTTTATAAAGTGGTAGTTAGACCAGCCATGTTGTATAGGGGAGAGTGTTGGCTAGTTAAGAACTCACATATCCAGAAGATGAAAGTAGTAGAAATGAGGATGTTGAGATAGATGTGCGGGCACACTAGGATGGATAAGATTAGGAATGAAGTTACTCGGGAGAAGGTGGGCGAGCGTGGCTTTTATGGATGACAAGATGTGGGAAGCGAGGCTCAGATGGTTCGGGCACGTGCAGAGGAAAAGCCTAGATGCCCCGGTAAGGAGGTGTAAGCGGTTGGCTTTGGCGGGTACGAGAAGAGTTAGAGGGCTGCCTAAGAAGTATTGGGGAGAGGTGATCAGGCAGGATGTGGCGTGGCTTTAGATTTTCGAGAACATGACCCTTGATAGGAAGGTGCGGAGGTCGAGTATTAAGGTTGTAGATTAGGAGGTAGTTGAGCATTTTCTACTTCGTACCGGGTGTGAGGATAGCATGATTCTTAGATTGCTAGTGGTTAATATTGTGTTCACACTATTCTCCTGTTTTCCATAGTATCGGGCCTTATTTACTTGTTATTGTTATTGTTATTGTTTTTCATCTATTTTTTGGTTCTTATATCGCTGTTATTATTTCTATGGTTTCTGTTGATGGTACTGATGTATTTGTCTCTTTTCATCTTCTTGAGCCGAGGTTCTTTCGGAAACAGTCTCTCTGCTCCCTCGGGATAAGGGTAAGGTTTGCGTACTCATTACCCTCCCCAGACTCCACTTGTGGGATTTCACTGGATTGTTGTTGGATAAGCACGTATAAAGACAAAACTGCCCTTTTAAAACCTATAATACACCAAACCAAATAATCGATAAGAAATAATTCCACCATAACTAATCCGAGCATTACTAATCCCAACATTACTAATACACCATATTCAGTACTATTATTATATGCTCTACCAAACGACCCCTATAAGTACAAGGGACACCTACCATCATGAAGCTACAGGGCAGCATAGGCTCTTTTAAGCACTTAACAATTAAACACCGACAAAATGCAAAAATGTAAATAGAACTTTTTTATGGATCAAAGGACAGTCCAATTAGACTGTAATTAAGACTGCCTTCATAACAAACTTAAAGAGGTGAAATTTGTGGAAAATTAAAATTAAAATCAGACCTTTGGTGATCAGAATAAGGAATGGTACGGAGTAGAGATATTTCTTGTCGTCGCTTCTCTCTTCTCTCTTGCGCTCTCTCCTTTTTACCCATTAATTCCTTCGGTTATTTGGGCTTCAGAGCTCTCTAGCTATTCTGCTCTTTTGTTTCGCTCAGTACTCATTTCCAGATTTTGCTTTGGTTTTAGACTTTAGAGCAAACCCTCGCTTTCCTATGGTGCTACTCTTCCCAGAATAAAATAACAAAACAACATATTTTAGTATAAAATAAAACTGTAAAGTAACACATTTAAAAGTATGGAGAGAGATTGGTAAATTATTTCACTTTCAAGTTGTATACATAATTAATTAATTTAGCTTATATTTAGCCATAAAATGGTATAATTGAATTTATACGTGATTTCTAGACAAGTGAATTAATTCGATCCTAAAATAATAAAATAATTGAAGAAATAGGTAATAAATGAAGACAAAATAGCAGAAATAGTAATTTCGGGAACAAGGCTTCCGCGCATAACAGTAATGAAATCAAGAAGTAAGAAGATAAAATTGTATAAAGCTTTATACTCATTATAGCACAAGTTTGTCAGAAAATACGTATCCCTTTACAATGATAATAGAGCTCACTATTTATAGCTACACCTAGGGAATAAGGTCCTAGAATCAAACCCCTCTTCAGTGCTAATTATGAGGGTCATTGAAGGATATGTAATATCAGGCATGAATGCCATATTCTTTTGTAACGGGCAGTGTATTATGTGCCGTAGAATATTCTTCATTAAATGCTACCGGGCGACAGGTATTTATTGCATCTTTATGAGCGTCATTCTTTGTGTTAACAAATGGAACAATTATCCTCAATTTTAACTATCCTCTGGCTGCAGCTCCACGTGTCACTCTTTTATGCAACCACTTAACATAACATATTTTATCTTATACGGCTTCTTGCAAGCTATTTCCAGGAACTGCTTGCAAAGCTATTTGTAAATTACTTTAAGAAGCTGCTTAAAAACCGGCACAGAATACTAGTTTGTAAGCTTCTCACAAGCTACTTGTAAGCTACGCTTTTTAAAGCAACTTGTGAGCTGTTGCAAATAAATGTATCTTTTTTGTTTTGGGTGATAAATATATTAAAACAATCACTATTAATAACATTTGAGACGAAGGGGATAAAATAGAAGTTGTATAGCGACAATACATTGTACGGATAAGGTCCTGATATATCCTTCTACTATTAGAAATTATTTAAAATTATCCTCCGTTATATTATTGAATCAAAAGAACCCCTACCGTCTTACTTTTCAAACACATATACCCCTGACTTAACGGACTGGACACTTGGCACACATCCAAAGCTATTGGTCCATTTGGTCTTAAATTAGACCTGACCCGGCCTATTATCTGGTACCCGATCCATTAAATTTGACCTGCCAAATACACATTACTCTTTTCATTAAATGTTGAAAAAATAATTAAATCTGACGCTCCATTGTTGAAAAATACAAATTGCTCTTTTGACTAAATGCTGCAACAACTCTCACAACCAATGAATCAAATAAACACAACAATTACCACCAAAATCCAACATTACAATTCCAAGAACAAAGACTCAATTTTTATACTTCTTTTCAAATCATAGATTGAGTTCAAAAGTTAAACCATTAAAATACAAACAAATGAACAGAAACCCTTTAATACTTTCAACAATTTCATAGAAACTAAGGGAAAATTATACAAGCTGAATAGTCTACAACTTCTGGGTGACTTTCTTCTTTTTAGGAGGAAGCACAATATTTGAAGGTAGGAATTATTATAATCTGTGACAACCCAGTTGTAGGTATTAAAGTTGCTTCATCTGATTCAAGGCCCTTCAAAACCCGTACAAATGAAATTACTACGACAAAAGAGAAATCTTCAATTTCTTCTTGACTACAGAAAAGGGTTGAAAAAATTTCTTTCTATACATTCTAGTGAATGTAGCCCAACTCGAGAATTGGGTAGAGAAGGACGGAAGAATTTGGAAGAAGAAGAATGTTAGTTGAATGTGAATAAAATTGGGTCAAGAAATCAGAGAGACCCATTTTGTCTTCTTCAAATTTCTCAAAAAATCCTTGTAATGCTGTTTTCTAGTTTCTTCAACAAATCAATATTTCAGTCTTGCACTCACAATTATAGACTCAAATCAGTAACAATAAATGAATTTCACCAATATTTTTCGACTTCTTTTTTAGATCTAGATTCAAACCCAAAGCTTCAATATGTCATAAATGGTGAGTTTCGACGTTTACCATCAAATTCTTTCAATAAACAACAGTATAATTTAGATCCAAGCACAATAAACAATTAAAAATCAGATTTCAATAATGTAAACCCCAAATCAATCATTGAACCAAAGGACTCATTCGAACTCAGACTTGGAAATGAGCTTCAAAACCCGTCAATGTGCATCTTTCCAATTCTTCAAATCAAGACATTGAAGAACCATTTCATAAAGGTTTAATCTCTATTCCATCAGCTTCAAAATCGATTTCAATACAAAATGCATTAGATTTCTTTCCAATAAATGAGAGACTGAGAAAGAGCAATAACTCAATCTTTTTGAGGTACCGGGTAATAGGGCGGGTCGGGTCTAATTTTAAACCAAATGGAGCAACAGCCTTAAATACGTGCCAAGTGTCCAATCCGTTAAGTTAGGAGTATATGTGTTTGAATAGTAAGACGGCAGGGATTTTTTTGATCCAATAGTATAACGAGGGATAATTTTAAATAATTTCTAATAGTAGAAGGATATATTAGGACCTTTTCCCTACATTGTATTTGTCTCTGTTTTTTGTTTTCTTCCTTTTCAGTTAAGACTTGGGAAACAAACTAACCCCAGGGCTGTTTGCAAGTGACACGTGTCTTCGTGTGAATACCTATCTCTGTTGTTGCGGTCTCAACTCTCCACATCTCCTTAAAAAATCAAAGTTAAAAATTTCTAGTTTCGCATTTCGAAGAGAAAAGCTCGTTCTCTTGGAGTTCCTTGCCCTAAACACCATATCAGGTTAGTTTCTCTTCCTCTCTTTTTGTATACTTAGATAAAGAAATATGAATATCATGCTAAACAAATTTATCTTTCATGTTGTTACGTTTTCCCTTTTGATGCGCTTGGTATGGATGAAAAATACTTTATGTGGAAAAACTTTTATCTTAATTGATCATTTTATTACTACTATTATTTTCCAAGTTTTGAGCTGTAGGTGACACATAGTAATTGTATAAGCTAGAGGATAAGGTATGATGACAGTGTTTTGATAGTATTATTTGATGTATTAAATATGGATAATTATGCCTAGCAAGTTATATGGAGTAAGAGTGGAAATATTTGTAAAGGAAAATGATTATCCTCACGTTCAGAAAATGAAAGTAGCAGGATGTTGGGATGGATTTGTGGGCATATTAGGAGAGATGATTAGGAATTGAGATATATGGAACAAGGTGGGAGTGGCGTTCGTGGTGGACAAGAGGGGGGAAGCGAGACTGAGATGGTTTGTGCATGTGAATAGGAGATGCACCAATGCCCCAGTGAGGAGGTGTGAGAGGTTGGCTATGATGGGGCCAATGAGAGGTAGAGGTAGGCCTAAGAACTATTGGAGAAGGTGATGAGGCGGGACATGACACATCTTCAGTTTGCCGAGGACAGGACCCTGTATTGTTTTTCTATGCGTATAGTAATAGTATATTCTCGTATTTCCTATTCTTAAATTTTAATACTACATTCTATTTCTTTTGCTTCAGTTATCTTTTTTCTGGCTATGGCTACTGCTTCTCTTTACATGAATTTTCCTTTGTGTTGTATTTGCTTATCTAAACTGCTGTGATTATGCTTTTCTTGAGCCGAGTGTCTATCAGAAACAACCTCTCTACCTTCACGGATAAGGTTTGCATACACACTACCCTCATCAGACCCTACTTGTGAGAATATACTAGGTATGTTATTCTTATTGAAAATGACTACCCTGTCCTCCATAAGTGGGAAAACATTTTCCATATATTGGGTGCAGAACATTTTCCTTGTAGAAGTATTTCCACAATTCAGAGTATCAAACATTGGAAATATCTCATACCAAGACACCCTTTGTCTATCTATGGCATCACCTGATGTCTTTTTGTCAGCAATAACGATATAACAGAACAAGTGTCTGTGAATCGAGTAATCTGCGTAGGAACTACTGTTGTTAGATGACAAAGCTATAAGACTTTCTTAACTCACAAAACTTCTAGAACTTAAACCCATGGATCGTTAACATGTTGAAATAGTGCAGTTCTCAGATATCATAACAAGAAGTGAATTGGGAAAGTGAAAAAGATGACGAGCAAATTAAAGTGTCAGCTGCTTGTGCTGGCAGTCCTACTGCTAATAGCGATTAGCCCAAGTTTGCAGACTCGACTAAGAAATGAAAACAAGGTGAAAACGTCTATTTTCCGATCACCAAAATTTGTGCTGGAACCTGGATTAGTATGTAACAAATTTTACTACGACATAGCTTTCCCAAAAGGCCATATTGCTATCAAAAGTTTCAATGCTGAAGTAGTAGATGAGGCACGAAATCCTGTCCCTCTTCATGAAACATATCTCCACCACTGGCTTGTTGTAAGATATTATCAACGAAAAGGTGCTAAGGTGTCAAAGTACCATGGCGATCTGAGGTTCCAAAAATCTGATTTTAGTATAGCGAGTAACTCAGGGATGTGTGAAAGGGATCTTTATCAATATTTTGGCCTCGGGTCTGAAACTCGTAAAACAGCAACATATGTTCCAGACTCTTATGGTATAGAAGTTGGTAATCCAGGAGAAGTACCTCCTGGATATGAGGAGAGATGGTTGCTTAATGTACATGCGATTGATACACGAGGTTCTGAAGATAGGCTAGGATGCACAGAATGCAGGTGTGATCTTTATAATGTTACAAAGGATGAGTATAACCGGGATATAGGACCAGATTATATTGGAGGCTTGAGATGTTGTTATGATGAAACAAGATGCAGAGTTGAAGAAGGGTTTCAGGGTCATAAGAGAAGCTTGTACCTGAAGTACACGATCAAATATGTTGATTGGGATGCCTCTGTTATTCCTGTTAAAATTTATATACTTGATGTTACTGATACATGGAAAAAGCCAGAATCAACAGGACTTATGTCAAGACATCACTGTCAGGTGATGAACATTTCCGATTTGTGTCATTCATTTTCAGTCAATCAATCAACTGTGCCTCAATCCCAAGATAGTTGGGGTCGATGATATGATCATCTTTATAATATCTGTGGAGCATTTCTGGTGGTTTCTGTTTGAAAGTGTCTTCAGCATGAAAGGGAAAACAGAGTTCTATCATTTGAGCTTTGGTAGATAAGAATCGAAGGATACAGGGAAAGATTCACGTGGACCTTCGCATTTATGCAATTATGTTCATGTATTATTGAGTTCTCGGGATTATCCAATATGAATGTAGAAATGCTGGTAATCTGATTTATAAAGTTACATAGTTGCTTTTGTAACATTCCCCAATTATTTGCGGCTGATAATTTTGTTGAACTTTTCTGATACAGATTGAGTATGATGTTGAGTCATGTGCTAGTGCTGTTGCTAATGCTGGATGCGTGCATAAGAAAAAGATCAGTGTAACTTTGCCAAATGGTGGAGATGTTATTTATGGAGTTGCTCATCAGCATTCCGGTGGGACTGGTTCAACTCTCCATGGCGAGGTACTTTGAGATGTTAGAATTTGTTTCTTTGGTCCTGTCGGCTTAGGATCTAGTTTATTGCGTGACTCTCCACATTTCTAATTGATTCACATAGGATAAATTCTTTCTCAATAACGCATGTAACTTTGATGGACTCTATCTAAGCATGTTTCACAATCTCAATAGTTCCTGCTTCAAATGTATTTAGGTGATAAAGATAATTCAAATAATCTGCTTGTTTATGTTACAGAACAAGTTTGTCAAACTTCTGAGGTGATCATTTTGTTGATTCCAATTGTTATCTAGAACCTAAAGATGGTAAAATCATTGCGTGCTTTCCTCTTAAATTGCTGGGGAAAGCTATATGACTATTTTCATTGATCTGTGGTAATATTTTAGGGAAATTATGCAGCACTATTTCCTCCCTACTTCCGCTAAGTATGGTATTTATGCTTACTGATGTTTCACAATATTGTTTCAGTACTATGGTTAGCGAAAGTGGTGTAGAGAATGATGTGTCACATATGTTTTGAGTTTGTCTTGATGTTCTTGTGATTGTTTCAGTACTGCAAAGGAAAGCATGTGCGAATGATAACTTTTTTTGTTCTCTGCTATATGTTTAGGATGGACGGGTTATTTGCTCGTCACTTCCAATCTATGGGGAAGGAAAGGAACCAGGAAATGAAGCTGGTTATATTGTTGGGATGTCCACTTGTTATCCGAAGCCTGGCTCTGTCAAGATATCTAAGGGAGAAACTCTTACTTTTGTATCAAAGTATAGCAGTGCCCAAAGGCATACAGGAGTTATGGGCCTCTTCTATATTTTGGTTGCTGAACCGTCACAAAAGCGCAGCTCTATCCTGCATTCTACAGACAGCGTAAGATTTGCTTCATGTTAGTTATATCCGTAAATACAATCTTTCTTGCTGACATTTATTTTAATGTCAACCGTGTTTTCTCAAGTTTCATGAAAGATATTCCTAAACTTACCATTCCTTGTTTCTGCAGACTGGTGAAATTGTAATATTACATAATGCTGTTTGGGCCATAGCAGGGTTTGGGATTGCAGCACTTGTTGCTGCAGCTGTAACTTTTCAACGAGAGAGCGGAAGAGAGGAAGGGTATGAATCTATCCTAATGTGAGGTTCTTTCAGTCCAATTTCTGATGACCGGTATAATATACAATGTGAGCTAGATTTTGTCGATTCAAGTTGGTCCTTGGTGCTGATGCAAAACTTTTGCACAGTTTCACTGGATGTGTTTTAGTGTATGGGGTGATATGGTCTCTTGCTTTTCTAGCTACCTATAGCATTGCATATGTCTGTATATCGGATAGTGAATACTTTGTTTCCTTAAGAGTATTTGTATTGAGTTTCAACTTCGTCCAAAGCTAATTCAGTCGTATCTGCCTTTGAGAAATAGCCTGAATCAGGCTTTAGATGGTGTTTAAGATAAGACAATATCCATGGGAAGAGGTTTGATCAACAAACTAAATGCAGATGGAGAGCTTCTTGTCTTGTTAAATACCGTATAAAAACGCGCCTTTTTTGCATGCTCTATATGGTCACATGTACAAGTACAACAGCTATTGATTGTTGCAAAAAAGATTGGTATTTGTTGTTGTAATTATTTTCCAGCCAATAGCTTTGTTTCTCAACTGTATTTGACATGGTCAACGCATATGAACATCATAAATGACTGTCATTTGCAGAATATAACAAGCTTCTAGTGAATAATGGAACTGCAATAGGGAGACTTTTTTGAGTCCATTACTCATTGGTCACTCAACTATCTGAAATTATCTATCAAAGTCATCTTTCTTTCGTTTGTAACAGCAAAGTCACTTAACTAAACCTATACCACTCAGATTGTCACTCAACTAGATTTCTCAATCTTTTGATCGTCAAATACATTATTTTACCCTCTAAATTATCAACTTTTATCTTCTTTTTATTTTTTTTAGCTTTTTAATATTATAATTTTTTCTCTTTTTAGTTTCTATTATGGACTTACCTTAGAATAAATGAACTTTTATTTATAAATTTTAAAAAAAATAAAAATAGTATTTAAGCTAATGTTGGAATAATAAAATATTGAGCATTAGAACAATTTGTTCATAATAATAGTTTTGATATTAACAACAAAAGCTCAAAATTTATTTACACAATTTAGAATAAAAGAAAATAAATAGTTTTAAAATATATATTCCATGCACGTAATATAGAAATAATTATTTAAAATAAAGGTATTTTTATAATATACATTATATGTTTTTGAAAATTATGCACAATCATGTTACTATTCCGACATTATATATGCTAGAAAAATATTTTTTTTATTTTTTATTTTTAAAGAAATTTATTTGTTCTATAGATAAGTCTATAATGTTGATTAAAAAGAGAAATCATAATCTTAAAGAAGTAAAAAAAGAAAAGTCGATAATTTGAAGGGTAAAATAGGTATTTTATAATCAAAAGTTTGAGAAATCTGGTCGAGTGACTTTCTGAGTGCTATAAGCATAGCTAAGTGACTTTTCTGTTACAAATGAAACAAAAATGACTTTAGAAGATAATTTCGAATAGTTGAGTGACCATTTAAGTAATGGACTCGACTTTTTTAGGTGAAAACTTGATCAGGAATAGATACTATTGCTCGTGTAATGATCTAAAAGCTAATTAAGGAAAATCAAATACGGGAATGGAAATAGAGTATGTTTTGGGACAATTTTATGGTTTATCGAATTAAAAATAAAAGCTATCTATTACAACTGGAAAATAGTGGATTGTTGCTAACTAGCCTCCATAGTTGTGTTACCTGAAGAAAGAAGAAGATAAGAAGATCAGTAGAAGGAAGAGGAAGAAGAAGAAGAAGAGAGAATTTGAGAAGAGAGAGAAGCGAGAAGAGAGGAGTGCTTACTTTGCTGAATATCGATGCCTCCTCTGTTGTAGTTAGTTATAACAATTACTGCTGACGTGGCTTAATCATAGCCCTTGGGCTTCATTAAAACTCTAATTAATCTTAGCCGTTCATTTGAATTTCAGTTGCTCCTCCTAATTCCCGTTATTAGCTGCTACTCACTTCGAACCCAGCTGAAGACATTGCTGAAGATCATAACACTCCCGCTCCCTTCAAACAATCCTTGTCTCAAGGATTGGGATCAAAGTCTGGAAATCTCGCCTTGATGTAGTGATAGTCCTCCCATGTAGCATCTTCAGGAGGAAGATTTGACCATTGTATCAATACCCTTACCACAACAGAATTATCCCTCTTTATGAGCTGCCTTTGCAAAATAGCAACTGGCCTAACTAGGAACTTACCATCCTCTCCAGTCATAGGAAGAGTAGTCTGTACTACTACCTTATCTCCTACCTTCTTTTTGAGCAAGGACGCATGAAATACAGGGTGGATCTTAGAGTCAGGTGGGAGATCTAGTTTGTAAGCCACCTTGCCAATTCTTGCTAAGACCATGTAGGGGCCATAGTATTTGGAGCTCAACTTCAAATTCCTCCTTAAGGCTAATGTTGTCTGTCTGTAGGGCTGTAACTTCAGGTACACCATATCTCCAACTTGAAATTCCCTATCTGACCTCTTTTTATCCGCATAGTGTTTCATCCTCTCTTGAGCTTTAATGAGGTGTTCCTTCAAAAGCTGTTGCATCTGTTGTCTGTGCATTACTGTTCCTTCAGCAGCTGGTACTATAGTTTCTAGCAAAGGCCCTAATGATAGTTGAGGAGGTGAGAATCCATAAAGAGCTTCAAAGGGAGTACATTGCAAACTGGTATGGAAATTGGTGTTGTACCACCATTCTGCAGCAGGCAACCATTGTTTCCACTGTGTTGGTCTATTAGCAGTCATGCACCTTAGATAATTTTCCAAACATCTGTTGACCCTTTCTGTTTGTCCATCACTTTGGGGGTGATAGGCAGTGCTATAGTGGAGTTGTGTTCCCAATAGTTTGAATAGAGCTTGCCAAAAGTGACTCAAGAACACCTTGTCTCTATCTGTTACAATAGATTCTGGGATCCCATGCAAACAATGTATCTTCTCCCAAAATATTTCAGCCACAGTTACAGCTGTGTAGGGGTGGGCAAGGGCTATAAAGTGGGCATACTTTGTCAGTCTGTCCCCAACCACTAAAATAACTCCCTTGTTTCTGGACTTTGGCAACCCTTCTATAAAGTCCATGCTAATGTGGCTCCAAGCTTGGTTTGGAATAGGTAGGGGCTGCAGTAACCCTGGGTAAGCCATATGGTCATCCTTGCTTCTGAGGCACACATCACAGCTGGCCACATGATCAATGACCATCTGTTTCATCCTTGGCCAATAAAATACTTGTGACAGTCTTCTTAGAGTTCCCAGCTGACCTGAATGTCCACCTATAGGAGAGTCATGAAAGGTGGATATCAACTGAATTCTTAGTTCCCTATTGGTACCAATGTAGATCTTTCCCTTCTTCCTGAGTATGCTAGCATTATAGTGCCATATGTTAGGCCCTTGTTGGGTCACAACCAGCTGGCTAATGACTTCAGTAACGTTAGGATCCCCTTCATAGCTGTGTGTTATTTCTTGCACCCATGCAGGAACTGAAATACTGATGGCTTGTAAGGCACCCTGAAGTTGGTTTCTTGAAACATCAAGGCCTTCTTGTTGTCTGGACAGGGCATCAACAACCATATTTTCAGCTCCCTTCTTGTACTGCACCTCATAGTCCATCCCAAGTAGTTTAGTCAGTCCCTTTTGTTGTATGGCTGTAGTTACTCTCTGCTCTAGGAGATATTTTAAACTGTGGTGGTCAGTTCTTACTACAAAATGCTTATATTGTAAGTAATGCCTCCACTTCTCTACTGCATTTAGCAAGGCCATATACTCCTTTTCATAGATAGATTTGCCCCTGTGCCTTGGGGCTAAGACTTTACTAAAATAAGCTATGGGCCTACCTTCCTGCATTAGTACAGCTCCAATGCCCATTTGGCTGGCATCAGTCTCTACTATGAACTCTTATTGTAATCAGGTAGTGCTAGTACAGGTGTAGAAGACATAGCCTTCTTCAATTTTTTAAACTAAGTCTGCTTCTTCATCCCATTTAAAAGCATCTTTTCTTAGTAAATCAGTCAAGGGCCTGCAAATGGTGCCATAGTTGGCAACATACTTCCTGTAATACCCAGTCAGTCCCAAAAATCCCTTTAAGGCTTTCACAGAGTTGGGGGTAGGCCATTCAATCATGGCCCTGATCTTGGAAGGATCAGTTGACACCCCTTCCACAGTTATAATATGCCCCAGATATTCAACCTTGGACTGACTAAATGAACATTTAGATCTTTTTGCAAACAAGGAATGTTTTCTTAAGATGCCAAACACTGCACTCAAATGAGCGACATGTTCCTTCTCAGATAGGTTGTATACCAATATGTCATCAAAGAAAACTAACACAAATTTCCTGAGGAAGGGTTGAAAAACCTGGTTCATCAAGGCTTGGAAAGTGGCTGGAGCATTTGTTAGCCCAAAGGGCATCACCCTGAACTCATAGTGGCCCATATGAGTTCTGAAAGCAGTCTTGTACACATCCTCCACCTTTATTCTGATCTGGTGGTAGTCAGCCCTCAAATCCACCTTTGAAAACATCATAGATCCACTCAACTCATCCAATAGATCATCCACAATAGGAATGGGATATTTATCCTTAATTGTGATGTCATTCAGCCCTCTATAATCTACACAGAATCTCCATGATCCATCTTTCTTTTTGACAAGTAAGGCTGGAGAAGAGAAGGGGGATTGACTATGCTGTATGATGCCATTAGTAAGCATCTCCTTAACCTCCCTTTCTAATTCCTCCTTCTGGTAATAGTTGTACCTGTAGGGCCTCAAACTGACTGGCATTGCTCCTGGTTTTAAGGGTATGCTATGGTCTAATGATCTGATAGGAGGCAAGGTCTTTGGCTCAGCAATGACATCTGAATATTGCTGTAGTACCTCTTCAATGGCTTCCCCTACTGCCTCCTACTCTTCAGTATTCACAGTATTCATCATGAATAGGTGAGCTATTAGAGCCTGACCTTTCCTTAGCATTTTTCCCATGGTTCCACTGGTGATCATAGTCAGCTTTCCTTCTTTAGTGATGCCTTGTAACACCAACTTGTTACCCTTTTTGCCAATGGTAACACACATCTTCTCATGATCAAATTTGGTTGGATTGTGCTTCTTCATCCAATCATTCCCCATAACCATGTCACAGCCCCCTAATGGATAATGAATAGATNGATAAGAATGGCGTCACCCGACTTATTTTGTGACAAATTTAAAATTTTGGTATTTTTGGCTATTTTGCAAAAGGGTGGTTGGACCCGATGAGGGTTGCCTACGTATCTCACACCCGGTGAGAATCAAACCTGCGTAGTTCGGGCAAATAAATCTAATTATTTTGAAAACATCCCTAATTTGAAAATAACTTTTTTTTTTGGTTTTTGTTGGCAAATTCACTTTTCTGAAAGCAAGATTCTTTTTATATTTTCTTTTTAGTGGCAAATAAAACGAACTAATTTGAAAATAAGACTCTTTTTGTTTTTCTTTTCCATTGGCAAACAAAACAAACTACTTTTCTTCCTTTTCCACATTTTCTCAAAAATCCGGCAGCATTTCGGCACTACTTGGCCATTGGTTTTTTTTTTCTAGTATAGGTAATTAACATCTCCACACTGTTATTTTCTCTCTCTCTCTCTTTTGTTTTTCCAAAT